TCCCTGCCAAGCAGAACCAGACATCAGTTGTTTTAGTACCAGCATCACTGTTGGGTCATTTTTGGGGAACTAGAAGAAGATCGTTTGCTACAGAGTGATACAAGTCACAGCTCTTGTTAGTGGTGCAGTGCTGCAGCAAACCTCTAAGAGCTGGGATTTTCTGGATGCACAGCCCACATCATAGCTCTCCACTTCTCTGTGCCACTATTTCAGATTCTGATGTTGGATCATACTTAACTGTGTCTGAAGCCAGCATAGAAACTTGTCATTTTGTACTAAGTTTCCCTCCAAAATGTCCATCTGCTGTTCCACTCATCAACACACAGTTGTTATTCCAGCAGGAAAAAGGCTACTTTTAGACACTTGGCCACACTTCAGCTCCAGTTTTGTCATTTGGCTTTGGCTAAAACACATTTCAGTGCTGCCTGAAAGGTGAATGCTCAGAATGGGATAGCTGCTTTCTGAGCTGGCTCCAGCTGGCCTGGCCACACCATCTCCTCTTCACCACACTCACTTCATGCCTGCTCAGCACTGATGCTTGTGCACACCCATGTCCTCCTTTGTGTTTTACATGGTAACAACCTGAAGCACACAAAACCTGATGTGCCTGAGTGTTATATGATATAGTCAGAGTGTTTAATCCTTGTTAAAACACTTTTCATAGTGTTTACATGTTGGATTGTAGATGAGGTCAAGAGCATGAAATAACTCTCATAATCACAGGTCCCAGTTAAACCCAGGTACTGTTAACTTGGTGATCAGAGCTGTTATTTCCTCACCAATGCAAACATAAAGCTGGGATGGGTTGAAGGCAAATGTACATGGGGGAGCAGCCATTACCACAGGAATAGAAAAAAAAGGAAAGGAACGAGTTGGACACAGGAATGGAGGAGGAGGAACAGAAGACTGTAGGGATACAGTTTGGATTGGTGCAGGTTATAAGGCATTTGGTACCCACAGGGTTTCTCAGCTAAACCTTCCCATTGCACAGTGTACTTGTGGGTGGTGAAAGAGCACTCCTACTCTCAGATTAACCTTGTCCATGGATTTTCAGGGAGGCCACCTTCCAGCCTCCATCTTTCTAAAAATTCTTCAATGACTCAGAAGAAATCTGGGCAATGTTTATTATGATTATGTCACAGATCATAAAATAAAAATTCTTCTTGACTTCCAGAAAATCATACATAATCCTCTGGTGTAACACCTGCTCTAAACAGGGACTGTCCTCCACAGCTGGCTACTCAAGCAAAACAGCACTCTCCTCACAGGGGAGGTATTGATAGGCCCAGCTAAGGTACATGGAAATGGAGTCCAATACAAATTGAGGCAGCCTGTTAAACTGGTCTTTTGGCATTGTGCTAATAGGCTCCTAAGCAGTGATGTCACTGATGTCATCTCCCTGCACTATACCAGCTGCTGTGGAATCTGCTTTCCATATCCTAGTGCCTCACTTCACCCTCCTTAGTGTCACAACACCACTGGTCTCTTGGAGGAGCAAAAAGATGAGAATTCTTCACTTTTCTGTTAAATTACCCTAAGACTGAAAGAGTAATATCTGTGAAAAAACCTGAAAATTGTCTATTCATACACAGTTATGTTCAGGACCTATCTCTGGTTATGTTTTGATATTTCCATCTCTTCCCTAATTTCACTTTTTTAATTGCTTCACCTTCTGTCATTAGTCTCTCATGGATCACCATCATTTGCACATTTCCATGCTGCATTCCCATGGTCTGCAAGCAGCTTGCTAAATGGAGGGCAGTAGGTCCAGCACCCTGCTGGGCTCTTTCAGAGCCAGCCCTGGAGTTGCCAGGCTGAGCTCCTGGGAGGCTGGGCAGCTACCTGCCTGCTCTGCCTTCAGGTGGGCAGGAGCTGCATCAAACAGGCAGGAGATCCCCCTGGACTGTGCTTGCCAGCTGTCCAAAGCTCCTTCCAGTTGGGGCGTGCTGCTAACTTACAGGGCAGAGTCAGGTTTGGGAATAGATGGGGTGACCCATGGCAAGGGCAATTCACTCTTTCATTCAGAGGTGAGGGAGACAAAATGCAGAACACAGCATGCTGTCTGTATTCACTCCTAGAATGTATAATTTGTCAAAATAATGCTCTTTTAATACCCAATTAGACTTTCTCATCAGCCTGAGGCACTGGGACTTCTTATGGTTAATCAAGACCCCTGTTGCCAGGGTAAGTCCTCCTGTGCAGCAGCCACGTTCTCCCACTTCAATGAGGTAGGGAAAAAAGAGCTTGATTTTGAGTCAGTTATTTTTACAGGATATCCCTGGTACCTTCTGGAAGAAATTTGTGAAATACTGAGTAAGTTATGTTATGATTTTAGAGATTATTCAAACACCCTACGGAAAAGCTTTACAGAAAAACCTGTGTCAGTAGCTAAATAAATAATGTGTAGGGAGCAGATATAAATTTGGGCTGTAGTGAGGAAGGAAAAGTTGGAAAAGAGGGTGAGGCAATGCAGCACCACTTTAGTTCAATCTTCTGCCATCAAACAAAAGCAGGTTTTAGATTCACATTCAGTAATTTAAATCTGCTGACCTTTAATTCTGACTTAGAATCTATAAAACAGTGTGAAATCCATATTTCAGGTAAATATGTGACCTTGTTCCAGAAGAGGCTTGGTAAGCTAGAGACTGAGGGGATGTGGCAAGGAATAGTGCATTAAATAAAGCTGTGGTATGAAGGACATTCCCTTTAATACAAATATTTCATATTTCATATTTCTCTTGATATTTACTGTGCAGGTAGTGGCTGTGAAATCGTTCCCTTTGTGCATGGACATTTTTTGCAGTCCCCATTTTCATTTTTTCTGTATGCTCTTATTAAAATTCACATCACACCACAGTTCAGTTCTATAGAAAAAAAATCCCACTGTATTCTTTCTCTGATACATTCCTGTGTGCAGTTTGGGTAGCACTTACCTCCATTGATATTGTTAAAGTTTCATAGCAAGCCTTCACACAGCTCTGCTTTTGTGTAATCTTTATAGTAATAGGGCTAATTCAATAATATTCACACTGCCAAGTGAAGAAGCCCGTAACGTAAAACTCAATTACCTTTTCCATTCCTTTTCTCAGCTGCTCTTCTGCTGTGCTTAGGCTTTTATCTTCTTCACTGTAAACAGGTAGCTTATTTAAATTTAATAGACACCACTGCCTTCCTCGTTTCGGTTTCTCCCTTTGAACCTTCTAGACACTCTCATGAGATGCTCATTCACCTTTGTGTAATACCACAGTAATAGCAATACAGGGGAAAAAAATGTAATGATTGCATAAAAGCTACAGTAAATGCCTAATGAACACTTTGTTTATGGAGAATTTTGCTTGGTTTCCTAACTGCACTTTGGTAAATTATGCAAATTAAATATTCATTACTTTGTACTTCATTAGTTCACATTTGGAACATTTTTTTCTTCTTTATAGTAGCCTGGGGTAAAGGTTTTTTAATATGGTTTATTCTGATATTTTTTCAGAAAATCTTTAGTTAAAATGCTAGAGGAAAGTTGTATTTATTCCACAACAGCCCAGAATATCCATATATTCCAGAGACTATTTTCTTCCACAAGAATATTATGTATGTTCAAAAATTGTGCAGAGTTCTTATTTCAAAAACCAAAGTAACTAAATATTTAAGCTGATTTTTGCAGTAAGTGTGCTTGCTGATCATATCCCCACTCAGAGAGAATTACAGTTCCATTAGCACGAGCGGTGTCTGACAAATGGGGAAGCACAAAACGTGTGTTCTGCACTGCTGCCTTGCATTGCTCACATCAGCCCTGGCTGTGACCCCTCAAGCAGGTTTATTGCTGCAGGAGGCAGGTGCTGCTCACCAGCCTGGAGGAAGTGGAAGGAGTTACAAGGAAGGTGGAAACTGGGGCCCAGCAGCCCTGGTTGCCCCCTGAAGGAAGGTGGCCATGGGATTGTGCCTGCCCACAAGACCCTGCCCAACACACCAAATTTGCTCTTGCTGCTATTTGAAATGTTGGAAGGATATTAACTGAATGAAATCTCTTGAAAGGTTTAGTGCCTCTGATTTGTTTTCTTCACATATTCCTTCATCCTCAGACGTGGTATCTGGGGATACAGTCCGTCTCCAGAAAATCTCCTCACAAGCTGTGCAATGCTTTAAAGAAGAAAAGCATTCTCTAAGTGTTTATGGGCAGCAAGCCATGTCAGACTTTGTGGCTCAGACTTGAAACTAGGGAGGCTGGCAATTCCAGCTGAATTTCAGATGCACTGCAAGGAGAGGATTCATTAAAATAAAATCTTAAAAGAGTTTGGGTTTAGTGTGTTGACCACACAGTGAATAGATGTACAGGAGAGACTCCTGATCTGGTGTTTACTAACAACACAGAGAGAAACAATTTGTTCTGAAAATCAGCTGTCATATTGCTCCTTGCCAGTAGAAATATTATTTTAATTCTCTTTCCAAGTAGTCCTAGGCAATAGGATGTGTTTGCATGGGTGATGGGATGAGGTGAGTGTGTTGGCCTATCCATACTCAGTCACTAAGGCTGCAGAGTGCTGAGCTGCGTATTGGATGCTCAAGACACAGTGTAGGGTCAAGGGCAAAGCCAAGCCACTGGTGGCTTGGGGACAGTATTAATCCAGGGTTGCAAACCATGCTTCGTGTGATTTCACTGAGGTTACACAGAGAACCCTTGGAAGAACCATGAAGAGTTAGTGTCTTATGATTACTTGTCTTCTCTTTCAACAATTTTTGTCTGTTCTGCTGAGACTCTGTGTTGAAATAAAATGTGATGCTTTTAGTTGCTGCTAAAGGATGCAGTAATAACAGAGTAAACTTGTGTTTAAATGAGATTGTGACTACTTGAGGGCCTTATCCCTACCCAGCCAGCAGGCACTGTGCACTTTTTGGCAAGCCAGCTATTCTTGCTGTGCCTCTGGCAGTGAAAGTGGAAAACTGGGGAGAGAATAGGACATTGCTGAAAAGAAATAGTTGCATCTGTACTGGGTTAATAAATCAGAAACAGGCAAACATTAAATCTGAACAGTGTCCAGCTCTCTGTGTGCCTGCATTTTACTGCATACTAATTTTCTCCTTTTTTGTGAGAACTGCGTCAAACACAGATCGAGTTTTGCCTCAGAGGCTGCATGAAAATCAAATCACATGTGGATCTTCTTTTATTTGCTGGAAGCAGGCATCTCCAGACTATGTTTAAAGCTTCTAGGGCATGCAGGAGAAGAGATACAAATCAAGGTAAGATGCCTTACTGCTAGTCACTTTCTTAACAGGTAGTTGTTTTAACAGCAATAAATACACATCACTTAAAAAGTATGAGGCATTAACCAAGAATGGATCAGATCTGCATCCTTGGTCTTTGTTTTATTGAGCATGATCCACCAAATAGTTATTTCCAGTTTAGCTGGACAGATTGCTATGTTAGGAGCCAGCCCATTAGGGCCCTGTAGCCTAGAGTTTCTTTACTTCTTGCAAAAAGCTTCTTTTAAAATATGTGCTGCTGTGTTGTTGGCATCCTGTCGCATTGTAAACACACATGCAGATCTGAAGCCTAGGCAGAGAGCTCCCTCACCAGTCAGAGGATCCAGCTCTCCTTCCTTCTGTCCTCTGCTTTAATAGACTGTAGCACTGGTTTGTTACTGGTAGCCTTTCCCTAGACTTTCAATCCTCAGAACCAATGTCTATTTTCTTATTCACTACCTAACTTGAGTACAACTCTCTCCAAAATATGCCCATATTAGTCCTCATTTAAGTCTTGTCTATTAGTTTTCATTTGCACACATCTGTGTGTGCTTACTGTGGTGAGGACTCTGGCACACATTATCCTCTGATCTTTGTCCAGGTTTGCATCTCAACAGACCTACCTTGTTTGTTCTGATTCAGCACTGCTGGGTTAATTTCCAGGCATGCAGTGAAATATCTGAGGGATTCTGTGCTCCTCAGTGGAGTCAACAAGGCTGACCATATGGTAGTTCTCTGGAATTACAGTTTTCTACTTCAGGAAGGAAGACAAAAGCAGCTTAGGCACAGGAGCACATATACACACCAGGGTTCTAAAACATGCTTCTTCACTGAGCTCTTCTTCTTCTAACTGGTCCTGAGGAGTCCTGGCTGAGCTCTCTTGAGGGTGTTGGAGGAAGACATTTGCCTGAAATGAGATGATGTCTCACTTTACATCCATCAGTGCCACAGGAATCATCAACATGAACACAGATTTCTCCAACAAAGCAGTGACTAGTTATGAACCTTGTAGAAATAAAAGTGACCAAACACTACTTACGGAGATGGCTTCTCTAGTAGAAGTAAGATGATTGTATATTTAATGCAAGAAACACAGAGAAATATACTTCTAAACATAGTGAGCAAATTAACATGGTCCCAATCTATAAATAAAAACATCTTATGACACAAACATAAACATACAAGATTAATACCTTCTGCAAGGCACTTACACAGCTTGAAGCACAACTCAGGATGGTTAACGAACCCCCTTGTGAATATTATCCAACAAGAAGACCTATGTCATCAAATATTTTTATTGTTAGTTGAGACTGCCTACACTCTATAATGCAGCCATAACCGAACTGAGAGCTCAATTTCTGATTTCTATTGCATTGTCTCCAAGTAAAACAAAATCCTAATCTAATACTGCACTTATATCTAATCCAAATCATGCAGACCCATATGAATTCTGTGCTTGGTTCACTATGCTTTTAGCATGCTTGAAATTATGTGGTTAGGATAGGTCTTGTACTTCATGACTGTTCAGGGAAGATGGGAATAATGACACCGCACCATGAGCTGGAAGGGTTTCACTGTACTTGTTCTTAAGTGTCCTTGCATTGCTAATCATCAAACAAACAAACAAATAAATAAATATCATCAGTAATGCAGACCCATTTCAGAAACATAAAAAGAATGAGATAGATGATAGCTATCCCATTGGTGACAGAGACATCAAATGCAGAAAATATTCAGCATTAATTCAGAGTCCATTTTGATTCATTGCAGCTGGACAGGAAATGAGGTTTGAGTGACAACTTTATTTACTAAATCAAGCTGCTGAAAATTTGAAACATCCATGCAAAACAGTGGAGCTTTCCATTAAGAAGGCTTGATAAGACAAAGTGAAAATATGAGTAATTTTCATTAGCTATTTTTCAATAAAAGGCATGGAAAATAAATTAGATTAAAACCCTGCTCTGCATAATTTTGTGTTTGCAGAAGAAACCTTATCACGGCACCTTTTAATAATATGGAACAACTATTGCAGAATTTGTTGTTTTATCCATTTTCTTCCAGAGATACTAATGGTTCTCTTCATTTTGCCTTCAGCCAAAGCTCCCATTTGTGATTTAGAGCCATAGCTTCCCCAGTTCTCTTACATCAGTGGTGCCTATGAAATATTTGGCAGTTTAATTGCTGTGGACACTGATTTAACCAAAGGTGCATTTTCAGATGCAGACTCTCAACTGCTTTCAGAAAAGCTGGTGTGTGTGCAATGGCTTGTGTGCCCTGCAAGGACATTCATATTGTACCTAATGCTGAATTAAAATCAGCAGAAAGAGTCAGAGATAAAAAAGGTGAGGAGAGTGCACAGCCCCAAGGAACTGAAATGAATACTGTTCTCGTGGAAGATGTCATTATTGCTGGCATTTGAGATTGAAAATAGGAGAAGTTACAATAAACCTCTCATAATGATAGTAATAACAATGCTTTAGAATAATTTTTAAATTAACCTTATTAGTAAATCCATTTAGGTTTAGTCTTTCCCTGGTTCCCAGAAGAGGAATTCTTTAGAGGACTAACACAAGCTATGTGTTTCCTCCTCTTCTGTCAGCTTTCCTTGAACTCTACACAGAAATCAATTTACCTCCTCAATATTCATACAGGTGGCAGCTTCTACATAGAAATATTCCTTTAAATGAAAGCAAATTAAAGGTCTGGCAAACTGTTTTCAGAAAATAAAGCTGAGGGTTCCAAAGCACTGAAAAACAGAGCCAACTACAGAGAAAAAAAACAACCTATTTTCTTTTTCCAATTTAAAAGCAGACCTATCCTGGTGCAGGATTTTTCTGAGTGACATGGCACTAAAGGAACACACTGTAGTTTAATATAGAAGAATCATCATTTTCCTTTGCTTTCTGAAGTAGCACAGAAATATCTGTGACTAATGCCACAGTGAGCAGGACACTTTATAAAACCCAAACAACTGTCACATATAGGTTATAAGGTCTTTTCTCATACATAAGATAAGCTGGAAATCCATCCCATGGATGCAATCTGAGAAAATGTTATGAAGTTTCCCACAAAATAAAAAATGAGTTTCACATGTTATTTTATTTCTCAGGGGCATTTTGCTAAACATATGCACACATTCTCACAGCTTACCCTCAGAAAAAAAAAAAAAGAAAGAAATCAGTATCACAGGGATTTAAAAGATGAAGTGTTCTTTAATTGCATGGTATTTTATTTTTTATTATATATACAATGAAAATGTATGATTATACACTAATGCAGCTCATTGTGTATTTCACTGGTTTTTCCTGATTGTATTCAAGACACTGAAGGTAAATGTTATTATTTCCTCGTGGAGGATAAAACTGAAACATGGAGTTCATGTCAAAGGCCATAAGATTTATCTCTTGTTTCCTAAATGAAGCACCCAAATCCAAGCTGCAATGAGTGTGTAACTGGGCTTCAAGTAAAATATTCTTCTGCAGCTCAGCATGTGGCTGCTGCCATCTTTGTCTTTTGAGCTCAGCAGAGGCTGTAGGTGTTCAGCATCTCTGAAAACCAAAATTTCCTGATCCACCTTGTAGGCAATCAAATTCAAGCCTCTTGTTTTAAATTAATTTCTTAAAATTTTCTGGGGGAGTGACTGAACAAGGCCACTTCTTCAGCCACTGTCCAAGGGCATGCACAGCAGCCTGTGAGGCAAAGGGTCCCTTGGTAGCAGTTTCTCCAGGGGCTGCCCTCACTTCCAGAGACCTACATCATAATGGCACTGCCCTGCTGGTAGCTGCCACCATCCAGCTGAACATACAAAGCCAAGTTTTCACCAAAATTATTGGCTTCCTACTTACACTTACTCCCATGGCGACTGTGACGTCTACTCATGATAAAGGAAAATATAGCCTGGGGCCTGAATGTCTTGGATTCCACCTTCCACCTCATGCTCATCCCTGGCAACTGGGGCCATGCTGAATGCTAGAACTAATAATCCTCATATTTCAGTGGCTCCTCTGCAAAAGAGCCCCCTGCATTTAGAGGCAACCTCAATTCAGATGCTTTTCCAGGACATGGGATGTGAGATAATTCTGTTCTCTGAGATGGGGAGGAGGAGTTGGCAGGGATCATTCCAATCATCTGTCTTTTGCAATTAAAAGGAGACAGACAGATCTTCGTGCATTTTATTAAATTGCACTGAAGGAAGTCAATAGAGCATCTTTAGTTGATCTAAAAATAAATAAAGTAAAACTTGCTTTGAAGAGGCTGTCAGAACTCCAGCCAAGCATAGATCTGATCCCAAATAGTATTTGGCTTGAAGTACTTTGCAGCACAGATTTGAATCTTCTCAGAGGTGAGAGAGGGAAACCCCCCTTCACACACGGCACTTGTTTGGCAGCCAGAGCAGCCAGGCTGCCCCTGGTGCAGGCCTCTCCTCCCCGTGTTCCCCACAGAGGGTCACTGAGAGCCCTGCTGCCATATCACCCCTCGCTGTAGCTTTGTCCTGACTTTGCAGTGCAGGATTCAATAAAGGAAAATGTCCTGCTGGAGAAAGAGCAATGGGCAGAGCAGACACCCTAAAAAGGGTAACTGACTGCAGGAGGAACGAGCCCTCAGCTCCACTGCCCAAAAGCTCTGGGTCATGCAGCTGCAAATGGAAGACAGAGGTCCATGGGAAACCAAATTTCCTTGTAGGATGAGAATATAGGATGTATAATGTAGGATGTATAATGTGACACAACTTATCAAGCATTCTGTCTGTGTGCCATGTCTATCTTTAGGAGTGCAAGCAGTAGAAGGAGAGGGGGGCAAAAAGGCTTTAAAATATGAAGGGACAGAGCCCCATGTCTGCAATTCCCTTGGCCCCATACCTTGCCACAGCTGCTCTGGGCTCCAGACCATTGATACCTGTAAAACCCTGGAGTGGAAACCAAAGCATGAGTAATAGGACTTTTCCAGCACTGTACTGTTTCAGACACCCACATAAAACACACACCATGAATGACTGC